CTTGACCTTACTTGAACAGAGGTAATACTGAGACCTGCAGAATTCACCATGAGTCTGAACACAATATCCAGCTGAGGACTATTTCACTGTTTCCTATTTTACACATCAACCTTCGTGCTTTCTTTCTCCAAAACTCATTACTTATTTCCCATTATTGCCCTTATTGCCTGAATCAACATGCTACGTTCAGGATAATCTGTCCTTTGAATCCAAGTAAAGCTACACAAACAAGAGTGCAGTTTTGCAAACAGTGATGCAAACAGCAGCGTGACCCTTCTGAGTGATTACCCTCGGCTTAAATGTTTGCCTCACACTCCCACAGGTGTGATCCTGCAGGCACTCACACACTGTACGCTTAACCAGGGTGTCAGGAATTAATGGGACTGTTCCCATGGGCTACAGGCATCAGTTATGAGCAGGAACTGCGTTTAATCAGGACAGCAGAAAGCATCACACCATCATCTTAACCAGTCTTCTCGCCCAGTTCCACTTCTAAGCAAAATCAACATATGAAGCCAAATGCTTTGCAAATTTCTGAATGCTGATGCAGTACTCCTTCTCTCATCAAAATATCACTCCTGGATTTAGAAATTCTTGTCCAAATGAATGAAATACCTGCCTTTGTTGGTATGAAGAAGGAAATGTCACCCATCTTTCAGCAGCAAATGAATCAGTAGATTCTAAACCTTAAGAGCAGAAGCTTTGCAATTCGTATTGAGTTCATCTCAATGCACAACATTTTTGGTAGCTCTGAGATAAGTGTGTCTACTGCACAGCTGGGCTGCCTCGCTGCCATCAAGCAGAGCACAACCAGCCCAGTAGGTCAGACAGGCTTTTGAAATGGGAAGAACAGACAAGCTTTCAAATTCTATAAAACAAAACACGATATATTAGAATAGCCATTAGATTCCCTAACCCTCAAGGGTTCGTATGATAGTTTGACGTTTCGTTTCAGATTTCTCAGGGAAAAGATCATTTTTAAGTGCTTTTGGCACCACCGAAACACGGCGATGAAACTGCTGCTCTGTACTGCTTCACGCTACGGTCACCTCTTGCCTCGTCTTTCTCACAGCAAACCTGTCTTCCAGTGGTGTATGAGCAAGAGATCTTTTGACTGGAAAAGCTGATACTGCATCTTTATCAGAAACAAGCACCAGAAAATGCAAGCCTTCAAAAGCCAAAGCGATCAAGAACGATAATGGTAAATCCTGGAGTGATGATTAGGGAGAGATTCAACACCGTGCCATTGATCGAGTGGTGATCCCAACCCACCACAGAAAAGCAATTAAGTCAGTTTTAAACAGAGTAATAAAACTCACACTGTGACGGTAGAAGGGGTCAACTTTTGTAGGGTATTTGTCAAACTGCAAAGGGATCAAAGCACAAACTAGTTACTTTCTATTTCGTTGCTTCATTTCTGTTGGTAACACAGACTAATTCCCTATTATTAGGCAACCAACAGAGAGGAAAAATACGCAGAAAATGAACTTCCAGTGAAGCTGGTTTGGGTTTTTCTCCCTTCAAAGTATAACGAGGTCTTTATGAGCTGGGAAAACGGAGGAGGCACCAGAGTGCACCACTCCAACCACCAGGGATTCCCAGGCACGAGTGCCCCTTCGGCCAGCAGCCTCATCCCTCAGCCCCTGCGCTGCCACTGGCTCTATCACACACACAACAGCAGTAGGGAAAGGACCGCCCGTCCTGTGCTCCCCAACCGCTCCTGGGCAGCTCTTTCCCCACCGCCTGGCAAACTCTCAAATGTTCGTAATAAAGAATAGAGTTGTGCTCTACTTATCCTCACATTTCTGCCTGGGGTACGCACCATGGGCGGTGCTGGCGTCGGCATGATGGCAGTGGGTGGGATGGCGTGAGGGAAAGGCGTGAAGGTGTGCTGGTGTGTGTGTTGGTGTGTGTGCTGGTGCTGGTGCTGGTGCTGGTGGAACTCGGTCCTCAGGTACGGCGGTGGGCCCAGCGAGGCCCCGCGATCCGCGCTCTGCGAGGCCAAAAACCGCGTGTTTAGTTCCTGACGGAGAAGATCTTGTTCTGAAACACAAAGCAAAGCAACCTTTGTCAGCTCAGGGACTTGTCCACACCTTGTGCCAACTTCTGCTGGCTGCGGTGGTGACGTTCTACATTAAACTTCCTCACAGTAAAGCATGACGCTGCACAGATTAAGAAAGCTCCTCCAGCTCTTCCCCAAAGGCCATGCTGAGAGAAGAAAGCCTCCAGTTCCCCTCTCTCATGGACCCTGCCTTCACTTCAGTGTTCGTCTGAGGCGCAGCGTGAAGGCTCTCCTTAAATTCCTGGACACGTCCCTGAGCAGTGTGGGTAAGAACACTGGGAACAGAGTGGCCGCAAACACAGCTCCACTACTTCATGGACAGGAATTATTTAACCAAAGTGCTGCTCATCCTCAATATTCATCCCTCAGATCCCTCTCAGTGAGCTGGGAGAAACTGACATCTTCCCACAAAGTACAACAGAGCAAAGTTCGCTCCACTTCTGTTCTCCCCAGCCCTGCACAAACCCGACCTCAGGACGCTGTGTGCATGGCCACCAGACTTCTCCCTGGCCAGGCTGGCTGCAGGGAAGCAAGGCTGAGCACAGACCACAGCTACAGCACAGACATCTGCCACAGCATTCACAGATTTTGGGTGGCCCCATATGAACTCTGAAGTGGTTTTACCCTGGGGAGCAGACAGAAAAGCACAGGCTTCCAAAAATTCTTCATCCCCGGGGCAGAAGAAAAGTCACTGGGAAAGTCTGGGTGGTTTTTGCTTTTGACATCGACCCAAATTGTTCAGCGGCGAGTGACCCCTCTACCCAACCAGCAGCTCTCACAGAATGGACCCCAAAGGAGTTATTCTGACTACAACTGGAGATTGAGTTTCCTTTGCCACACTGGGGCCACGATCTGTCTGTCTCTTACCTGAGTAAGTGCTACCAGCTGGGTGTCCTGGAACCTGCAGGGTCCCTGACGTCAATGGAGGTGGAGGAGGCAAAGCCGTAGGAGGGGCAAACATATTGGGGTGATGTGGGTGTGCGGGGGGCTGGAGGGTGGGCGTGAAGGTATGCAGTGGGCTGTGGCTTGGTAAAGAGAGGGGGAATGGTGAGGCGGAGGGGTGGTGAGATATGTGTGGAGGGGGAGCCTGAGTCTTGGCAGGAGTGCTGCTTCTGCTGCTGCTGTTAACAAAAAGAAAAGCAATTAAGCACTGCAAAGAAGAGAGAAAAGCTCTAAAAGCACACATACTCTACCCCAATGTACTATGCATGGCTCATGATAAACCTGCCACTAATTAAAGTAACACACTGCAAATACAAGATATTCTGTTTTTCTATCAGTACCACCGAGACACTCCTTTCTCCAACCTCTCCCTCATCCAGCATCTCTTACTGCCTATGCTCCTTCCACACCAAAGCCCCAAGACATGTCTCCCTCCCTCTGAGAGGCTGGGATTCTGTCCTCAACAACAGAGGCACAGCACACAAAGAAAGGAGTAATCAGCTCTGTGCATTCATTACTTAATTATCGGGTCCTTTCTACATGACTGCTTCTGATTCATGTTTTCAGGCAAATGAAGCTCAACATCAGTGATTGCTGCATTAATAAAAGTTTAATTTCTCTGCTATGACTTAGAAAGATGGAAGAGTGTGGAAAACGTGAAATGAAGTTGGGAAGGCAACAACAGATACATGCTTATTATTCTGTTAATGACTCTCCTTACCCCCACAATATAAAGAGAGTTGAATCAGCACAATAAATACACAGGATTATACTGGTTGCAATTTTTCAGGTTTCATTCCTTGGCAGGGAAAGTTTCCAGTATAATCACACAGTGCTTAATCCCACTTGTCGTTATTTCAAGTAACAACACGTTTACATTGCAGTGGCTTTTAAAGACAAGCAATACCAATTTGGTTAAAAATAAATCCAAGCCTTCAACAACTCCCAGTTTTAGTCAAACCATGAAGCAACCATCTACTGGTTCACCAGGTCAGGAAGGATGCCATGTGCCTGCTCAGATTCGGGGAAAGGTGAGGCACTGCTGAGAGCACTGTGTTGCCACAGGGGAAACCTGAGGTCTGTGACTTACAAAGACATCATGGGATCCTGTAACACATTGCTTAATCTCCATTAATTTTGTTATCCCCCTACAAAAGGTGGGGATTATCTCTGTGTGGCCAACTGAGGTGAAAAACACTGAAGACTGCAAGGTGTTGTCAGTGCGGGAAGAAATTAAGCCCGAATGTCATCAGTGTAAGCCTATGCCAAGCTGTCAGCAGGGCTAACAGCAGCTGCACTGTATTACTTGCCCTAGGGCATGTCAATAGTTGGGGAAAGCAGAAGAGGTTTACAGGGAGGCAAGGGTAAAAGCAGAGAGCCTTCAGAGAACAGCTCAGCCTGCAAGAATTGGGATTTTGTTCCACTGGTCTATGTTGCACGAAATCCCCTTCAAAAACCTGAGTGTGCAAGGACAGGCAGGAAAAGCAAAAGCAAATTAACACAGAGCTTGAGATTACCAAGCACTGCCTGGAACACCAGAAAATAAAGCGATTCTGGCTCATTTTAAGGAAGAATCTGAGGAAGAGGCCACAAATCCCCCTCAATTTCCCACAGATGGGGTGGGATGCGCTGTCACCTCTATCCTAGTTCCCCCTCCAGGCACCATAAAGCATCACCACCACAGGCAGCAAGTTTGCAAAGAGATGTGGGCACACGCGGCTTTCCGCTCGCCTACCTTAAGCTGTTGAGGCTTAAACTGCTGCTGTTGTAGGCAGAGAGCGGCTGCGAGAGGCTCTGAGCGGCTGGATGGGGCTGCACTGCAGGGAGGTTGGGGTGGGCCGGCTGCACCGGGGACTGCGACCGCGGTGGGTGCTGCACAGGAGGCTGCGGCGCGGGCGGACGGCTGGGTTCCTCCGGGGCTGGAGGCAGCTGTGCGGTCGGCGGTGGGGCTGGTGGGGCCGGAGCCTCCGGCCGTGGGGCGAGCGCGGGGCTGGGGCAAGGTACCTCCGGCTGAGGTTCCAGCTGGGGCTGGGCCAGAGGCTGGGCCACCTGAGGGCAGGGGTCTTTAGGCACCACGGGCTCAAGTATTGGGTCTTTGCTGCTGTCCTGGCTCTTCTCTTGGCTCCTCTCTAGTCCTGATATCTTCGGGACAGCTGGCCCCCTAGCACCAGGGTCGGCATTTTCAGCGAGCGTACTGACTCCTAACTCTTTATCTGCAACAAAAAAGAGAGACAGAACAGGTGAGTGTGTGACTACACAGGCAAAACCAAGCGCAAGCTATCTGCCAGAGCCGCACTCCAGGCAGACACATTTTGGTTTCATACTGAATTGAACCCAAACAGAAGCAATTTCCAGCAATGTCCCTAATCCTCAAGTCCTTCTCTTAATATTTCTTCTCCTATTGCACCATAACAAGAAAGTTTCTGTGTCTTCATTAACGCATGAAAAAAGCAACTACACAAAACTTGAGCGCAGTGGCTCTAAAATCCTCCAGTCAGACCTCCCCAAAAAAACACCGTATCTGTCTGAAGGAGGATGCCCTGAAGTGCTCGTTTTGTTTTGTCCTGTGCATTCAGCACAGCAGACACCGGGTTTGTTGCACCGGCCTCCCAGCTCACGTCTCCTCGGGATTCGTTTCCCACTCTGTCAGTGCAACCACTGATCATTAAAGAAAATGAGGCCGCTACAATAAACACGTGACTCCAAGACCGGGCTGTGCAACAGCCCCGATGAACTTTAATCATCTGCATGTGTATTTGGCCAAAGCAGTCTCTCTCAGTGACCATATAAAATGTAATGCAAGTACATAGGGATACATGTACAGAGCTGGGAAAATCCCCAGGGGAGGGCTGTGCAGGATGCCCAGCATCACTCCCTGCCCAGGAGCACCTCTCTGCGCCATCTACACCTGTGCTTACCAACAGCACTGCTATTGCTTGGGCTTCCAAATGAGCAGAACAGACAGGTAGGGAAAATGCTATAATTTTGCCTCGATTTTCTTTTGGTGGCATTAATTTTGGAGACTGTTCTTCAGAAGAGTGGCCAAAAAAGTTTGGAGGGTGACATACATAGTCCTGAAATACGTCTTCTTTAAAGACATGAGCAGGGCAGCCAGGCTGCATATGTGTGCATCTGCTTCTCTCCTTCTTCCCCCAACAATTCTCCTCAAAATAAACCACCTGCTACCAAAGAGAAAGCCTGCTCACTACCATTATTTTCTGTTATTGTTCCTCTATCATCACTCCCTCACCAACCCACTGAGGGAGGAAATGCACTGTGAGCTCTGTGCCTTATTGCACAAATTCTGAACATTAAAATGCTTACTGGTTGGAAGACAAGGCTTCCTTGGTTTGGCTGGCCACAGAGTGACTTGTTTGGGTCCTCCAGCTGTGTCTCTTTAATACTAATGACTGCTATTAAAATTATAACACTTGCTACGCTGGAGTTCTCCTCACTGGGGCTTCACAGAGACCTCCCACTTCAGTCACACCCCCAAACTTCTGCCAACAAGTATTTGGTAGAATGGTTTGAGTTGGAAGGGTCCTTTAGGATCATGTAGTTCCAACTCCCTGCTACAGGCAGGGACACCTCCCTCTACACCAGGTTGCTCACTGCCCCATCCAGCCTGGCCTTGAGTGCTTCCAGGCTGGGGGCATCTACAACCTCACTGGACAACCTGTTCATCTGATGAATGACATCCCTGTGAGCAAGTTCAGGGGAATGCTGCCAACACAGGGTTGGAAAAGTGAGCATCAGCAGCTGCCGTGGGAACTGGGAGCCTTATTTACGTCAATACTGCATAGCAATGGTGTAAAGCTGGACTTTCAGCTTTGGCAATTACAAAGATGAAGCATATGGGAAACACACGAGATTTAAAGGACCCGGGGACAAGCACCCAGGTTTCCAAATAATCTTCAGACAGAAAAACTTCACTCATTCATCTGCCAGTGCTAAGGGATAAAATGAAGAAATGTAATAAATTAACACACATTCAGCAAGAATTGTTGACGGCTGAATTGGTCAAACCTTGATGTGAAGGAGAACAAATATCTACGATGAGAAGTATTTCTCCAGGCCACACAGAAGGTACACAGCGTTTGCCAACCTGCCCATCACTGGAATTGTTGGAGAGGGCTGTGCAGGGATGTGTCAGAGACTCTTCCTCATTCGGGTTTCTCATGCAGAGAGCCCATCAAACTGTGCCAGGCCCGTTAGTAAGTGGTTTGCTGGCCCTGTACAACAGCAGCAGCCCGGTGGAGACTGCTTTAATGGTTCATGAATAGGAGATGGGACAAAAGGGAGCTGCAAGGGAGAACTGGGGAGAGACAAACAAACTGAGTTGTTTGACGAGGGCGCACTGTGGGAGTACTCAGCCTGTAATGAGCACCAGGATCTCCTTGGGCGTTTGGATCAGGCCATGGTGGCAACAGGGAGACTCCAGAGGAATAAAAATAATAACTCTGCTGTATGCCCCAGGTCTTCCTCATTGCAATTGTGTTGCAGATTATTGCATTCATTCTTCGGCTCAATCTTGTCTGATCAAACATTATTCTAAGTTAAAGACTGATCACTGAATGTGTTAAGACAGGAGCCCAAAGAGGAAAGAAACGAGCAACAGTTTGTTGAGAAATAGTTTCCTAGACCTTACAGGCTTAAGAATGATGACATTTTGATTTTTGACAGAAAGGTGCAATAATTAGGGCTTTGAGGGCCTCGTTTAGTTATTAGAAATTCCCTTCCAGTTGAATACAGTAGGTGGGTGGTCTGAAAACTCAGCTGAGGTGATGCTTCTGAAGCTACAGGGAATACCTCGTGCTTGGTGCAATCATTAAGTCTTTCCATTTGATATCTTTAGTGTCTCTGGTGTGGGTAAGATTTATTCAGCACTATTCGCTGCCGGGAATTCAGTTCCTCCTCCCCTGGAGAGAAGGGGCGAGGAATCCTATCATCTCCTGGGTACTCTTTGCTGCTGCTTACATCTTCATTACACAGCCCCTTAAGCACCGTTCCTGTTAGTTCACGGCTTAGAAGATGCTGCATTCAGTAACATAACACTATTCCAAGTGTCAAACCCTGAACGTGTGCACACCTTCCCCCTCTCTCTTACCTCTCTGCACCTAAGCATCCACCCCACAACGCTATCAGATGTCCTGCAGCCTCTCTGAGCCTTGCATATTCCCCACATGCATCCCTGATAATTATGCTACATGAATAAGAAAGAATTCCTCATCCCACAACTTTTCTTTTGGGAGCTGAAATCCCACATCATTGATGAACACAACCAACCGCGTGTTTCGTATGCAAGGCTCAAGTCCTCAACAACAATACTTCACAGCCATAAGTACACCATCACTCTTTTCCTACCAACACATTACTTATGAGTGCTGACTGACTCACAAAAACCAAGGGGAAAACGTCCTTTGTGCACCCACGACAAGCTGACTTCATTTGATGGTAGTCTCCATACTCTGTTTTGGATAAATAACTGTGATGTAACTTCTGTGCTGGCAAAGGCTCCCCTTGTTCCACTGGACTGCTATTGCATCCAGCAGCAGGCAGTCTTTTAACTGAGAAAGGAACAAAGCCACAGTTCCATGTTCTTTGAAGAATGAAGAAAAACGCTGGCTGAGCTCATACCACCCAGACAGCACATGCAGCTTCCATTATCTTCCTTTCCTGTTTTGCCCTCTGATGTGTCTTAAATCTGAAATTCCTCTGTTTTTCACTTAACACACAAAAAGTGGGGATCACACAAGACGCAGGGCTCGGTCCCCTCCAAGTAACACGAGTGCAGTTATCCCTTGCTGTGTCTGCATGGTTATTGTTTGGTTTGGTAGGAGCAGACAAGGCCACACTGAAATCCTCCAAGCAAACCAAATGACCACAAGGGAACTAGAGGGACTCATCCTATGGAAGTGCCATGAACACACACACGTGCACTCCAGTGAGTCTGCACACATGTATGTCACGTGTAATACACACACACTTGTTTTCCAACCCAGATCTGTTATATGCATACATACAGATAACAAAGAAATACACCATGCATAGAAACACTTCCATAGAAAGACGTGGATTTTTATGAAGAACACAGGTTATATGCAGCAAACACCTGACATGCCGCTGTCTGTCTGCCCAAGGCACAGTAAAATTTGACCCACACTCCGTGTTCTGGCTCCTTTGTACCACACAGGTGATCCAAAAGAGCTACAGGATGGCCAGGGGCAGCCATTGGGAACATCACAGCCACACAACAGAGCCCTAAGCATTCTTCAGCCAGCACAAACACCTTGCTGAAATTCACCACATTTTACATTCCCAGAGGTTCACCAGTTCAGTGCACACACTCCTTTTCCCTGATCAGGTGTTGTCTGCAGACAGGTTCTACGTTTGCACCGAAGACCAAACCTGCTAAGCTCCAAGCTGGCTGCTCCCCGAGTGGCAGCTGAGCACACACGAATCGGGCATCTCTGACCTGACTGGGCAGTCCTTGGGAATGCAGTCCTTAAACAACATCAGGCATGGTGCTGCCAACACCAATTTAGAGGCCAAATGTTTATTTTTGAAACCCAAATCATCCACCTTTTCCATGCACAGCTTGCTTTGAAAACAAGAACACAGAACACTGAGCCCCTAGTGCTCCCCTTCACATCACGATTCATTCTTTCCATGTCTGCTTTGGGTCATCTTGAGAGAGCAATTCAGAATCAATACTGACTCTTCTGGAGGATGCTGGATGAAGCTCAAAAGTCCTTCCTGCAAAAGTATGGAAACTATCACAGTTTTCACTCTCTTGCACCTGCCTGTGTGCTCTTTGGGACTGAGCATTCAGCCTACCAAGGAAATCTTACAATTTTTATAGCATTATTAGATTTAAGAACAGCATGTGTTTTCTTCTGCTTCTTCAGCACGTTAAGCTCTGCTCCTGACAATATAATCTGTCTAGCCAAGATTTTCTGATAACTTATTTATGCAAGATAAAAAACCACACCTTTCAGAAAACATAAAATGAATTGCTTTGGTTGTAACACGGCGGTTGGTGCAAATTATCACAACCAATACAAGCTGCCCTAAGTTCTCTGAAGTCAATGGGATGCAGAGAATGTGCACCCTGCTGACCGCCAGCCTTGGGATGTACTTCCACAAGCATCCTACATGGCTTGGAATAATTAATCAGATGTAAGTCCTGACTGTACATTTCATATTGATTAGA